TGGAGGTGTCACATGCATTATGCATTGGATTGTCTAAGTGCCTCTCACTGGATTTCTGTGTATATACAGAATGCACCAGCCTGGACAGTTCGGCCCTTATCTTCCCACTGACTTCAGTAAGGATTCAGAAAGGGCAGGTTAATCTGCTGAAGCGCCTTGGAGGACACTCCTAAAGATAAAGTTATTCCAGAAACTTTACAGTCACCTGACAATGTTTTTACCCCAAACACTAGCCTTGGTTCCTATCCCACGGAATAAAGTAGCTGTTTGTGGTGGGTTGACCTCGACTGGTGGCCAGACTCCCACCCAACTGCTCTCTCACTTTCCCTCCTCAGCAGGACAGGAGGAGAAAATATGAAAAAAAGGTTGTGGGTCAAGATAAGGACAGGGAGATTGCTCACCAGTTGCCCATCATGGGCAAAGCAAATTTGTTGCCAATTAAAAATAGGGCAGGATGATGCAAAACAAAGACAACACTAAAACCACTTTTCCCCTACCCTCTCTTCTTTCCAGGCTCATCTTCACTCCTTCATTCCCAACTCTTCTACCTCCTCCCTGCCCCAAGTGGCACAGGGGGATGGGGGTTGCAGTCAGTTCATAACAGCTCCTTTTTGCCACTCCTTCTTCTGCAGGGCTGTGGGGGAACAGCCTGCTCCACCATGGTCTTCTCCAGGCGCTGCAGGGGGATCTCTGCTCCAGTGCCCAGAGCACCTTCTCCCCCTCCTTCTTCACTGACCTTGGTGTTTGCGGGATTGTTTCTCTCACATTTTTTTCTTAACCCCTCCCTTTCACAACTCCTGCACAGCGTATTTTACCCTTTCTTAAATATGTTGTCACATAGGCACCACCAGCATCGCTGATGGGCTCAACTGTGTCTGGTGGTGGGTCTGTTTTGGAGCTGGCTGGGGCTGGCAGTGTCCGTCTTCTCACAGAGGCCACTCCTGCATCCTCCCCCTGCTACCAAAACCTTGCCATGTAAACCCATTATGCTATTTAATTGGTCAATGAAAGTTTTTCTCATTCTTAAAGAAAAATTTGGATTTGGTTCTGTATTTGCAGTGTGTTAGGAATATTTACAAAATTAATTAAGTGTGAGTTCTTTCAAAACATTGATACCTCTGAGTGGTAGTGGGTGAAATTCTTGTACACTGAGGCACATTAGGAAGTCTTTCAGCTGGTATATATGAGTAAAACTGGAAGTTTTTAGAAAGTAGATAGTACTGATGTGGCCTTGTATGTGAAAGCTGTTTGACTGAGTGGGATAAATATTAAAGGAATTTTGTACATAAATGTAGCAGAAGTTCATTATTTTAAAGAAAAATAGCTTAGAAAATTAGCGTGGAATTATTTGTATGTAGTTAGTATGACACACTATTTCCAATTATAACTTAATTGGGCTAAGTGTATGTATATAGTGCCAGACAATATATGGAGTAGTGACAATCCTAGAAAGTTTTCTGGAGAAATGAAATCTGTGAGTGTCTTATTTCAGTCCTTTCTCAGAAGGAATATGGCTCTCTGCTGTATTTGCTAGTCCTTGATTAATTTATTACTGATCCTGTTTCTTTTGAATATTTGAAAAATATTTTTGAGACATCTTTGTATATTACTTTTTTCCCCAACGGCATTTCCTGAATCACCTGCAGATGGCTCTGCTCAGCCACATGTGTCTTGGGCCATGGTACTTTCACAGCCCCCAAAGAAAATTGTGTCACCACCAGCATCTGAAGGTCTTTCCAGAGGCAAAGGGAAGCAGGATAGTGAAGCAAAGGTACTTGAGAATTCTCTGCTCCAAACTAATTTCTGTCGCTGTGTGATTGTGTCTCTTGATGTGAAACATTGCCATTTTTTTCCTAGGCTCTGTACAGTGTCCACTTCTAATGTAGCTTTTAAGAAGTAATATAAAGTTACCTTGTCCTTATTAGAATTTTTATTCTCCTGTAGTGGAAAAGAATAACAAGATATGAAAAGACAGTGCTACTCCAGCAACACAAACTTCCAAAATAGCTGATTTGAATACATTACTTTTAGGCTGGACTTTTTTCAAATTCCTGACCCTCAGAATGAGATGTGAAACATGGAACTCTGGCCTTATTTGGGTGGATGTTTCCGATTGAAATCTCAGTAGTCCCGATACGTTCCGATAACCGTGCAATGTGCTTCAAATGAAGAATTTTTGCAGTAGCTCTGAATTTCTAAGAGATCTTGAATTTTCCTTGTCCACTTAATGTCCTAGCCTGGATTGATTAAGATACCTTTTAGTTGTGTAAGTGTGGTCACTTGCATTTATTTTGGTAGGTGGTATTGAAATAAATCAATTTCTAATGGTCATGCCTCATGATTTTTTTCAGCAGTCAGAAACAAAAAATGATGCTAGTGAAACTGAGCCTGAAGAAGGGTCAGAAAAGAAGAAAAAAAAGAAGAAAAAGAAGAAAAAACCAAAGACACCCACTGATGTAGAGAAACCTCAAAATGAATCTACTACAGTACAGGAACCACCAAGGATTGAGGTACAGTGAAGAGGTTTTTGTTGTTCTTTTAAGTGTTATGAGTGTATTGGAAGACCAGCTGTTAACACAGCTTTGTACAAATTTAAGTTCAAATCACATTTGTAGAGGATATTGCTTCAGGTCCATTTCAGCTGAGATGTTTGTCAGAAGTTACTGGTAGGGAACAGTTGTGCCTTTTGACTTACCACGTATTTAGTGAGCACAGAGTAGTGCAGAAGAGACTTAGGAGCAAATTTGGAATGATGCACCTGAGGGTCTGGATGTTAACAATAAAAGTCAAATTTCCTAAATTAAAAATATTCTGTAGTAACTGTTGCAGAAAGCAAAGTGCAAAGGGCTGGGGAATATACTGGGTACCATAGCGTGCCACAATTTTAAAGAATGTGGTACTGGTATTACAATTCTACCCATCTCACATCTGGAAGCAATTTCTATGGAACACAGTTGTCACTGCTTACATTCCTGATTGCTAATTCCAGATTTTTTTCAAATTCACGTAGCTGTAATACAAAAGTATCAAAACACTAATATGAGTATATCAGTATCATGAAGGCTTTAGACTTTCCTACAATGGAGGATTGTTGTATGGTCCATGGTTTGACAGTGCTTCATTGAAAGCCCAATATCGTACAGCATTATGTGTTGATTTATATGTTTGATCTAGTGTACGTGATGTTCAGCCTGTGAAATGACAGCATAAAGAAGCCTTCCTGGCTGGCTTCTGTTCTGTACGTTCTGACATGGAACATGGAGCAGAACTGTGTCTACATGTTCTTTTCATTGTGTGGTTCATTGTCCTGGAACAGCACAAGAAATGACTGTTTACAGACCTCTTTGTTCGAGAATTATGGGTAGAATCAAAGATCTGCAGGGTCTTTCCCTCATGAGAACATCCCCATTTTTACTATATGCTACCATACAATGCCTGACCTGTGAATGACTCACCATCTAAACAGAAAGAGAATGGCCTGAGTTGTGGAAAACAGTAGGAAGGTAATGGGACTATTGAAAACAGAAATGGAAAAAAAAGGCACAGAATCCTGGAACAGGACATACGCATTGCACTGAAATCCGTGATGTGGATGCAGCATCTGTTGTGGCAGTGGGGGGCAGCTTTCAGACCCTCCTGGTTTGCTGGGAATGCTTGCTTGTGTGCTCATCAGTTTGAAAAATGGCTGAGGCACTTGTGTGATGCTCTTGAAATAGAAGAGCATGAAAGGATCATACACACAAAACTTCCGGGCACCCAGAAGATTTAAGAAGGTTCTGCTATGTGCAGCAGCTCACCGGAGCAATATATTGGATCACTTACTAGTTTTATAAAAGTCACTCATTTATAGACACTGTTAATGAGCGTAAATGGATGCATTTGGGGAAAAGTAATGCTGTCTTTCCATACACAGTGATAGGCCCTTAGCTAGGTATTTTCCCTGAGGGGAAAAAAATTGAAGCTGCTATTGATAATCAGGTCAGTGCTGGTAGTACTGGTCAAACATGCAAACAGTGCTGGGAATTATTAGGAAAATAGAAAAGAAAATGGATTATGACAATACATAAATCCAGGACATGTCCAATCTAAGTATAGCATGGATTTTGTTTTCTTGTGTTTCCCCCACTCCTTAAAAAAATATACATACTTGAACTAAAAAAGATAGAAAAAAGGCTCCAAAAATAATCAAAGGTATGAAGCAATTTCTGTGGGAGGCAAGACTGAATAAACTAGGACTTCTCAGTCTGTAAAATAGATGGCTAAGAGGGAATCAGAAGCGACAAGGAAATAAAAAGGAAATTATTTGATCTTTCTCCTAATTTTGTTTGATGTCCTCTGGTTCTTACAGGTGATGAGTTAAGAGCAAATACAAGGAGGTGTAGTGTCACACTGAGTGCTAGATTTTAATTATTCATTTTGCTATAGGATGTTGCAAATGCCAGAAATTTATTTGAATTCAATAAGTGATTGGACAGATTAAAATAAAAATTTATTCTAGTGAGGGCTATTTAAATGCAAAGGTACTATCTCTGGTTAAAGTCATCCCTAAGCTGGAAGAGTGTGTTTGTGAAAGATTTTTCCCTTTCTTGCAGTTGTCTTTGGGCATACTTCCAAGCTTCTTTAAAAATAGTTCATTGTGTGAGGTGTGTCTGTCCTTATGCTTAGAGCTTCCTAGCTTGTACTGTTTAAATGAAGTCTTTCAGGCTGCAGAAGAAGTGTTGGTATGTTCAGTAGTATTGTATCACAGCTAAAAAGGCCTCTCAGAAAGTGGGAGGAGAGCAACTGAATGAAAACCAAGCTGGTGGATGAGGATCATTATGATTGAGGTAGTGGATATAAGGTGCCCAGTGTAGAGCAAGCTCCAGTCTGTCTGCACTTAGTTAATATGGAGTCTGGATAACATATCCTCTGCTAATAAAATTTACTCTTGTGCCTAAGCCTACATAATCACTTGAGTGATTTAGCTGTTTATTTCCATACTGTAGTCAAGAGTTATTACCCTTTTGCTTGCCCTTTTTTGTTCTTCACCACTTGCATGTTTAAGGCAGAATTGCACAGCTGGAGACTGTATGGAAGAAGAGGGAAGTTATTTGCAAGGCTGTTAAATGATCTGAAAAACACTCCTTTAGGAGCCATTTACCTCTAATTATTTGTATCAGCTGACAGCAATAACAAGCTGCTGTTGGAAGCGTTTCTCTTGTAAGTTCTTTCAGCCCTGAATTAGCTGCTGCATAGACGACTTAACTATTGTAGCGCTGATTATAGTTGGTGGCATTGCACTTGGCTTCTGAATTTTTGTACAGTGAAACAGAATACGGTGAATGTTTGATAAGCAGTGAGAAAATCATTTGAATGTAGGAAAACTCAGTTTTGAGAATATGGACTTGAAAGTTCTTATAAAATCATCTTCTGATTTATTTGTTTAGGATTCTGAGGAGTTTCCTGATCTGGCAGCTGCTTCTGATAGGAGAAACAGACTAGGATCTCAGAAATCATCATTTACTCCTGCTGTCAGAAAGCAGTCTGAAGTAAGTAATCTTACGACATTATGTGAATGTTAAGAAAATAAGCAGGAAAAGACCGCAAGTTTTAAATGAGACTAAAGGTGAAATTCTTTTGACTAAATGTAGGTGCTTATGATGTGGAGCTCTGCCCATGGCGATCCCCTTAGGTACTCTGTGGACAGCGAAGAGCTACTCACTGTATTCAGCAGATTCATATCATTCCAAAGGAGATACCTTTTTGGTCTCTGAACTGCTGCCTAAACTCTGGGATACTAATTCCAATATAGACACCTCTGTTGTGGACACTCAAAGTTAGTTGAGATGAATTCTGTTTATGTAGTTTATTTTCCTACAGGTAGTGTTCTGGTTTAATTTTGCATTTCATAAAAAAAGTACTAAGACTCTTTCAATTTCTGCCTTTGCTGTTTGTTCAAATTTCAAGGGCATCTGAACAGTGTAACACTTCATTCTCAACCTGTGCAAGGGTAAGAATTTGAGTCTAACATCAATTGTAAATCCAAGCTATTTTTTTTAGCATGAGTGAAATGAATCCCAAGGATTAATTTGGAAATTCATCCAACATGGGAATGAAGCCCAGACGTAAATCACAAGGATTGGAAATATGATTGCTCTTGCAAAGCAAATAACATAAATAATAAAGGTGAAATTCCAGGTTTCTGTTTCTTTGAAACTAGTTTTGCTGGTAGAGATTTTTGTCCTTTGTTTTGTTTCACTGTGAATATTAGTGGTTTAAAAAACCAAAAAACAAAAAAAAAACCAAACAAAAAACCCCACACAAACCAAAAAGCCCAAAACCCGTGTTTGCTTTGAGGCAGTAAATTGCATTGACAGGGAGGAATGAGCAGCAAAAGCCACAGTAATTGCTTAAACTAGATTTGTTATAAAGAAAGTGTTATACAGACTTGCACCTCATATGAGAGAAACGTTTTAGCTTTGTAGACATAAGTGGGATATAACCTCTCAAAGGTTATGTAAGTTGTAGAGACGTGATCATTAAGCCACTCATACTCCTCTGTAACAAATATTTGAAGATGAAGCTGCCTTGCTGTTTTTTTCTTCCAAATCTGAAAAAAAGAAGGAAATCATGAGTCTGATTAAGTAGTATGGCAGTGAATAAATGATCGCACTTTTAGAAGGCCACAATAAGGTCTTACAGAGCCTTCTCTTCTCCAGGCTGAACCTCCCCAACTCTCTCTGCCTTTTATCATAGGAGAGGTGTTCCAGCCCTCTGACCATTTTTGTGGGCCTCCTCTGGACCCGCTCCAACAGGTCCATGTCTTTCCTGTGCTGGGGACCTCAGAGCTGGACACAGTACTCCAGGTGGGGTCTCACCAGAGTGGAGTAGAGGGGGAGAATCACCTCCCTCAACCTGCTGGCCACACTTCTTTTTACACAGCCCAAGATAGAATTGGCATTCTGGGCCGTGAACGCACATTGCCAGCTCATGTCCAGTTTTTCATCCACCAGTATCCCCAGGTCCTTCCCTGCAGGGCTGCTCTCAATCCCTTCATCCCCCAGCCTGTGTTGATACTGCAGATTGCCCCAAAACATGTCCAGAACTTTGCACTTGGCCTTGTTGAAGTTCATGAGGTTCACACAAGCCCACTCCTCAAGCCTGTCAAGGTTGCTCTGGATGGCATCCCTTCGTTGAAGCATATCAACTGTACTACTCAGTTTGGTGTCATTCACAAACTTACTGAGGGTGCACTCAATCCTACCATCTGTGTTCCATTTGAATTTAATATCATATTCACTTTACCCTTTTCCATGTGTCTTTAAATATTTTCTCTTCCTCCTTGTCACCTTTGTCTCTAAATTTTAAAGATCCATCTCCCCGAAGAGCCTTGGGATAGTCGGTCTCCCACACTGGATGGAACTTCCAAGGTGGATGGACTGTCAGGGAAGCAAGCTTCATCCTCTATATTAGAAAGAAAGAAAATGCAGGTAAAAGAATTGATGTTTGAAAATAAGTTTACAACTCAAAATGACAAACAAAATTGGCATATTTAAGTATAAGACTAAGTCCAAGCTCATCTGCAATTGTATTCATACTTTGTCATTCGTACTTTGAGATAAGTGAGAAGATCCTTGTGATCAGAAGCGCTCCATGGTAGTAATTACTAGCCCCCAGTTTGTGATACAGTGTTTAAGGAAAAATACTAGCTTTTCATTAATGTCTGCAAGTTTCAGATATCAGGAGTTTTTCTTTCGCCTGTCTTTTTTGATCATGGCATAAATCCAGTCCAAACCGATTGTCTTAAGGAGCTGGGAACCTCTTAAAAATGGTTCTGCTAGATTAAGACAAAGAGGCAAGGAGATCCACTTAGCTTGGGGCAAGGAGAAGAAATACAGAGCAACAGTGAGGTCAGTAAGTAGTTCCATGTTGGTGAGTAGGTTCTGGCGTAGCTCTGATGTGAGATGAGATGAGATCCTAGGCTCAGAAGGAGCAGGTCGCATTCCTTAACCCTGTTGTAACAAAAGCTATAATGAATTGGTCCTCCAGGATAAGACTTCTAAAAGCACAAAATCATTTCCTTAACATGTTTTGCCATCATAGTTTGCCCTTCTGTAGTCTTTGCTAGACTATTGATTTGTAATATTTTTATATTCTGAATCATTAAATGTGGTGTCAAGTGTGGGGCACCGCTTTTACCTTCTCTTCAAAGCAGACAGAAAGATTACTGCTTATGAGGAGATGGTGCTTAAAGATGATGACCTCTCTTTTTAATAAGGCATTGAAGATAATGATAAATGTGTATTGCAATCACATACCCTGGAAGATTCACAGAGTAGTTTTTCTGTACTTTTAACAAAACTTTCCATTCTGGTAAGCCTTTTTTCTTTTTCAAAGATAGGTGGCAGTCTGACCAAAGTGGGAGCCTGACATAAAGCACCTCCTTTAGTAAAGACTTTATACTTTTATGCTTTTTTCCAGTAGCTATTTGAAAGTTATTTGAACTGTTTCTGATTTTTTGTTTTTCACATTAAAATTGATATGTATTTAAAGATCAAACTACTTTCTTTGAATGAAGTTACAAATAGAAAGTATCGTGGATGAAGATGTTGAATGTTAGTACACGCCATACAAAATACAGTCTTTACATTCTGAAATGGAGAGCATTACTAATTGGTACTTAACTTGTTCAGGAAACATCCAGGAGCAGTGGTAAGAAGAGTCAAATTCCCGTGCAATTGGATTTGGGTGGCATGCTGGCAGTCTTGGAGCAGAAGCAGCAAACAGAGAAGTCAAAACAGTCTTCTAAACCTGTGGTGTTTTCAGGTATTGGTTATGATGAAATTTCCTTTCTTTCAACTTGAGTTGTTTTTAAGTATTCAAATGTTAAATGTAGCCTGATTTCTGATTCGTAGTGATCTCTGAATATGCAGGCAGGAGCACAGTTTACAAGATGCAAGAGAAAATGAAGGTTCTTTTAAAAAAAAAAAAATTTAAAAAGCATGGCAATCTGAATTGTTTGGAGAAAGAAGACTTGGGGAAAGAAAAGTCTTCAGGACAATGATTTGTAAAAAAAAAAAAATCTTACATAATATAAGGTGATTGAAATTTAGCTTTGACAAAAATACTAATGTTTGTGGAGGTTTTTGCTTCATCTTAACTATGTGTGTTACTGTTGTGATGTGAACCTGCAGGAAGGGGCTACGTAGTAACAAAGGCTTTCTTAAGCTCCTCTGATGCTAGAAATCCTAGAGCTGTAACTTGAGTGAAAAAGCTCCTTTGCAGACACAGGCATTATATGAGAGTCAATCAGGATGAGTTCTGCCATGCCTGATAGTTGTGAAATAATTGCTGTTAACAAAATGCTAGGTTTTGGTGATGGAGAGAATCTTTCAGACCTTGTGGATGCATAACCAGGAAGCAGAAACAAATAGCTCAGTGCCTTTTTCATTGTAGGTCAAAATTTAGTCTCGGCTATGTTAGTGCAGTATATTTAGCTAAAGGAAACATGATGTTTGCTAGAACTTAATGGTGATAAAATTTCTCTCCTTATTTCAGTAAAGATTTTTTTTTAAATTATTTCAGAAAGAGAGCTGATCGTGAGAGAATTCATCTCACAATGTTTAATACGATAGCTGAGCTTTTAAATAAAAAGCTTGAAATACCAAGCATTGATGGGATTTTCCTTCACTAACTGAGAGAACTTGTAAGATGCTTTTTAAAATTCTTTTTCTGCAATTGATCTCCTTTTTTTCATTTGAGTCAGCCAAACTCAATGCTGCAGAGGTGCTAATAACAATTTTGTTTATAGAAAATAATACAGTGTATGGATTGGCGAGTAGATGGTGGAGCACAAAGGTATGGGTCACAATACCTGTTTTCTAATATTAAATTGCCTGTGTCTGAATCTGCTGCAGAAGAGAAATTGATGTGTCATGTTCGTATCCTGGAAGTATAAGGCAGATGTTACCTCAGCTTTATACTTTTTTTTAACTTTGAGTGCACCCATTAAATTGGTGTGTGCCAAAATGTAACTTCAGTTTGTGAAGTGGCATTGTGCTGACCTCTGTAACCAAAAGAGCAGCATAGTGAACAAGAAGGGCAAGGAGTGTGACTGCAGACAAAGTTATTTCATTCCAGTTAGTACTTCATTTGGTAAATAATGTATGGATGGAACAGCATAGTAAAGCAGTAATTACACTTTGGAAATGCATCAACCATGCAAAATGACTCAAACTGTTAAAGCCATCAAGTTCCAACATGAGAAATAAAGACATGATGTACACAGTGAAGGAAATATCATGTGTCTGCAGGATGTATACTTATGTATTGCTTCAAATCCAGCTTCAATTTTGTAGCCACCTATGCTAACATCCTGCACAACGTTCTTGGCAGTGTTCTCAATTTGCCTTTGTTACACAGAGCCAAAAAAGAAAAGTTGCAGTGTAGCAGTTTTATGAAGTAAACCGTTTATATTAATAGTATTGTATGTGGTGTTGGAGGATCAGCATATGAATACTTCGGAAGCAGTAAATGAAGATGGCTCAGGACAAGCTGCCAGAAGTTTTGGGTGTTTTTTAGGGGAGAGAGGTTGCCTGAGGCACAAAGGTGTCAAGCTCATTCCACTGATGCGTATGTCATCCTCTTCATTGACTTGCTAATGTAACCTGGTTTATATTGCAGGTAACTGAAGTTTGACAAAGTGCTCTCACATGATACAGCAATTCCTACTGATAGTTGAAAAGGGAGAGTGGTTTTTAGGGTGTGAGGTCATGGTTTGGAAGGTCCAGGTTCAGGGACTTGGACAGTCATTTAAAGCTTCTGTGCTCTAAACCCTCTGAAAAATGCAAGTGAAGTAGACATCTCCTGAGAGCTGTGCTGGTTAAGCAAAAGGGACTTAGCTATAGCTTTGCATTACTCATTGCCTATCTGCAAATGAACTTCATCCAACTTCATTAAGGCATAACAAATGGTAAAAGTAAGTGTTCCAGATTATTTACAGCAATTAAATCTAAAATCTGCAATACTGCAACTCAGTATTTATCTTAACGCAGTACAGACTCTGTGGAGGAGGAAATGCCATTACCATGAAATGTGGAGATTCCTGAAGGGTTTACCAAGCCAGCGTGGCGTGGTGTTGAAGGTAGCTTGGAGTGCAGTGTTTTGCCAAATTCTGCTTTTGAGAGTTCAGGGACAGAGCTTGTGATTCTGGTTGTATAATAAAAGTAGAAAACATGTCAGTCTTTTGGGAGGAGTATCTTTATTAAATAACATTGTTTAATGACACAGGATTGCCTATAAATATTCTTAATAGCAACACAACACAAATTTAATATATGTATACTAGTCCTAATCCAGACATTAAACTTGCATTGGATTCTGTTTTAGGTATTTATTATGGTTGTCTGATGCAGACTTTTTTTTTATCTCAGTTGGTGGTGCCATACCATTGCTTTCTAAAGAACCTGCTACAGCCACAAAAAGTCACCGGTTAAACCAAGGAAAGATGCCTCATAACCCTTTGGATTCCAGCGCTCCTTTGGTAAAGAAAGGGAAACAGAGAGAAGTCCCTAAAGCAAAGAGACCAACACCTCTTAAAAAGGTGCTCCTATTTTTACTGTACATAGTACAATATAGGGTATTATTCTGTGAGTCTATTAAACCTTCCAGTATGGAGATCTGCATCTGAGCGTCCACTTGTCTAAATTCAATTTTAGCTTTCCTTGGTTTAAAAAAGGGGAGGGGAGGCAGGAGAGAAGAGGGGAGTCTTGCTAAATAGCACATAAAATTCCCCCAAAATATATTTTCTTACTTAAATCACTTGATAGCTGAAGAAGTGCCACTACAAAAGTGTCCACACATCATTGGTACAGGGGGACATCCAAAGAAATCTTACTTGGTTTGGACAAGACATGCTTATTTGCAGGGCTGCAGAGAATGGATAAAACAAAGGTAGAATTTAGTGTTTCTGTGCTCTTCCAAGCCAGAGCTTCAACTGAATCTGCAGCAACTAGTGTTAAATCCACCTGGTGATTTCTCTTGTACCTTCCCTCTTTACCCATTCACATTGCTTCTTGTCATGTCTTCTATACAGAGGATTTTGAGATACCACTCTGTCGCTAGGTCACTTTTTGGTCTAGAACAACTCTTACAGAGCTAGTGAAGGTAGTTTAGTGGTCATTCTGTGCTGCTTAATTGAATTTGAGAACTGTACAATATAAACAACATATAACAAACCCTGGGGGGTGATACTAATTACTGTCTCTTCTGGCTGTTCTATCTTCATGCCATCTATTTTTCAAAGTAGGTTTGAGAAGGCAAAGATTGTTTTGTCTGTGTAGTATCTGTGTTCTGAGATAGGGAGCTTATTTTTGTTCTTTGTTCATCTTTGACAAATGCAAATGGAGAAATTTACTTTTGTAATCAGATTCTGTGGTGTAATTAATTACAAATTTTGGGTAGATTAGCTGAGCTAGTGGCCATATATACAATAACTGCTTCTTAGCAGCTATGAAAGCAGAGAAAGAAGATGAGTTTCCAGAAACTGATTATTGCTTTCACCTACGGTATGGATGGTGAAGCATGTTTGGATCCAGCATATGTCCTACTTTCCTTTCTTCCACATACCATATGGCTTTACTATCCATGGTAATTTCTTCAACCAGCAAATTCAGAGACAGCGATCTATTAGACTGACTCAAGATTTTTAACAGGAGAATAAGGGGGAAGAGTAATTGTGCATATATATATATATATATATGTATGTACTTGAGTGTTTGGCTGAATTGCTAGAAATTGACGGTCTGAAGAAGAAAGGTAAAGAGGGAGACTACTTCACCTGCTTCTCTGCATTGAAGCAATTTGTCACTTTAACTTTAGTTCTGCTCTTGTAGTTGATCTTTAGTAATTATTTTCTCCACCCAGGCACTGGTAATCAAGGAAAAAGTCCTTTTCTATGTAGATTTAGGGAATATCTTTCCTTCTTTTTATGTGCAAATTAAACAACCCCCAGATGTTTTAACTTTTGAATGAGGTTAAAAGGTTAAAAACTTCTTTTTGAATGCTCTGTACGTAAACACTTGGTACGAGAAACTGCTTTGTTACCTATGTGACAATGAATTGATTTGGGTTTTATATATATATATTTTTAGATTATTCTGAAAGAAAGAGAACAGCGAAAACAGCAACACCTGTTAGAACAGAGAGCAGTACCAAAAGATGAAGATAATATTTGTCAGTCTGCAGAAAATATTACTGAAGATGAAATGCTTCTACAAGATAGTCGAGCAGGTATCTTTCAAGAGAAGGCTATAATACAGCATGTAGATGGAGATTTGAGAGTGAGCACGCTTAGTACTTTCAAAAATGTGTAGCAAATACTGCCAAATGAAAACTGTAACTTCAGAATTTTCTAAGATTCAGCTTGCGCTTATCTAGAGTTTGAAGTGTGCCAAAGCTGATAGTCAGTGTAGTTGAGTAATTGGGATTCTGATTACTGTTCCACACTTTCATACCTGTTTGATTTATTATACGTCATAATGAGAGTCCCTGCATCTCTCTGGCAGTCTGTTTAAAACTAAGAGATAAAAAATGTATGACCTGTTCCCCTACTACCACAGACTGTTGTAATACCAAAGTAGTGACTCTTCCAGAGATACTCGACAAGTTAGTCTCTTTACAAGGCTTTTTGGTCTGTCTTTTCATTGAAATGTCTTTATTTACATGATAGCTGTTCCTGTAACGCAAGTTGCTGAAGGGTTTCTGGAGAACATAGGGATCAAGGAAACTACAGAAGGTTCTATGACTTCAAAGCAGCTAACTTCCAATCTTCCAAAAATCCATAGTAGGAATTTTAGAGAGTAAGTATTGATTGTATTGATTTCTGTTTTTCCACAGTACCACTGATATGCAATTTTTCAAACAAGATAGTTCAATTGCATTCTGTGCAACACTAATTGGAGTTTAGACTGAAAGGTTCTAATTTTTTTTTGTTTTTCTGTAAGCTGACACATAGACAAAGAAATGATATCCAGAGAAATAGTCTGTACATTGTTGTAATTCTCACTTCAAAATGCATGTTCCTTGAAGGAAAAAAAGATCAGAAATTAATTAGAGGCTAAGGGAGGAAAAGGAGCTGCTGTTAAAGTATAAGTACCTTATTTTAAATAAATGGAGTGCCAGCATAATATTTAAGAAAAAGAGTAGTTGTCATGGTTTAACCCCAGCCAGCAACTAAGCACCACACAGCCGATTGCTCACTCCCCCTCAGTGGGAACTGGGAGAGAATCGGAAGGGTAAAGGTGAGAAAACTCATGGGTTGAGATAAAGACAGTTTAACAGGGAAAGCAAAAGCTGCGCACACAAGCAAAGCAAAACAAGGAATTCATTCCCTACTTCCCATCGACAGGCAGGTGTTCAGCCATCTCCAGGACAGCAGGGCTCCATCACGCGTAACAGTTACATGGGAAGACAAAGCACCATAACTGCAAACGTCCCCCCCTTCCTCCTTCTTCCCCCAGCTTTATATGCTGAGCATGACGTCATATGGTATGGAATATCCCTTTGGTCAGTTGGGGTCAGCTGTCCCAGCTGTGTACCCTCCCAACTACTTGTGCACCCCCAGCCTTTTCGCTGGTGGGGTGGGGTGAGAAGCAGAAAAGGCCTTGACTCTGTGTTAGCACTGCTCAGCAGTAACCAAAACATCCCTGTATTATCAACACTGTTTTCAGCAGAAATCTAAAACATAGCCCCATACAAGCTACTATGAAGAAAATTAACTCTATTGCAGCCAAAACCAGCACAGTAGTACACCGTACTTATTTTTAGTATGTACTTTGGTTTTCTGCTGCTAGACCAAATGGCAAAAATGTAAAGAATGTGACTAGCCAGATGACATTTTCAAGTTGTGGCTAGGCAGAGAAATAAAGAGACGATATATGGGTTATTATGTGCAAACACTTTTAGTTTTGTTTAAACAGACATGTATACATGTTTCCTTATAAAAGAAGAAATAGTCATTACTATATGTGAAGAGGTCCAGTCATGACAGTTTAAAACAGTTACTTTAGGTAAGCAGTGTTTTAACTTCTAGTTTTCTTCCCATAAAGGCACCACTGGCCTTTTTGCAGTTCATGTTATAGTAAAGGTTAATATTGATGCAGCCATTCTTTATCTTCCTGATGCCATGTGTCAGCTCTAATTTAACTTTCAATTGCATTAAAAATTACTTAATTTGTGTCTATGCAATGCTGTTTTACTGAAAGCACAGTTTGGGTTCAATACGTACAGGGCAACTCAGTCCTACCTATTACAGGATGTAATGCATTCAGCGAAGCTTAGAATATTTTGTGTCTTTAGATTAGATTTTCAGTGTTCTAGTAGACTTGTCTTTGAGACTTAATGAAATCAACTGGAAAGCTTTGAGCTTTGAGACACTTCTTTACTGAACGATTCTTTGCATAAAAGATGGGGGGGGTGGGACGGGACGGGACAATTTGGAACCCTGATCTTTCCCAGGGAATACTAGAAGGATGAAGTACCATCCGTTTTTTATCCTTTCCTTATGAATACTACAAGGCTGTAGTCTGATAAGTGAAATAAGATGACAGATAAAAAATATGAACCTGGGGAGGAGGAATTTGATCCAGATTTCCATCTTTGTTATAAGTAGCTTGGAATTTATAAAAATAAACAAGAATGTTATGCTTTGGTTGCTGAACTTTGATTTATATAGGTCAAAATAAATGTCCTCAGAAAAATGCTTCAGTAGAAAAACATATGTATATATTTATTGGCATTATATATATATGTTTATTGTACATGTGTGTATGTATTTCTAGTATAGTTTGATAGGGTATCCAGATACCACAAGTAACAAAACTTTCTCTAAGTTCTCAGCCACTGAAAAAAAAATCTTAAGTAAATTTTTGTTTTCATGTATATAACAAGTGTGTTTGGAGTGGAAACAGAAAAAAAGACAAAGACATAGAACAGAATAGAATGGAATGGAGTAGAATAGAACAGGAGGTAAACTGTTTATATTTTACATGTTTTACATACTATATATTTTTGTGTTACATATTTGTAATTTTAGGGTTTTTAACATTTAATTGATTCTTTCTTCCAGTTATTGCAGCCAGGTACTTAGTAAAGAAGTTGACAGTTGTGTGACAGATCTCTTAAAAGAACTGGTTCGTTTCCAAGATCGCTTGTATCAGAAAGACCCAGTAAAGGCCAAGATAAAACGCAGGCTTGTTATGGGTCTTAGAGAAGTTCTGAAACATCTGAAGCTGAAAAAACTGAAGTGTGTCATCATCTCTCCTAACTGTGAAAAGATTCAGTCAAAGGGTAAATAAGTAAAAAAAAAAAAAGTTTGTTTAGTAAAAGAAATGTAAAAAAGCAGACTCAGTATACTGGCAGCAGTATTATTATTGGAGGAACTTATTTGAGTAGCCTTTCAATATAAAGTCATATAAAGATGCCTTCCTTCTTCGGATTGTTTACTGCTGTGCAGCTGAAGTGCGAGCTGAGTCAAGACTATCTGGGGTGGGGGAAGCTATCTAAAACTAGGATCTGTTTAGTTTTCGATTTGCAGTGCAGCTGCACAAAAGATTGCGCTGGCGCAGCTGAGAAGAGACAAAGGTTAGTGATGCCCACTGTGCCACCACAAGAAGCCCTGCTGTATCAGTCTCTTTTAGGCCACAGATTGACAATAAGTTGTCAGTGATAGTTTGTTTAAAATTTGTTGTAATTATTTTCATTGCTTTCTATTAACTTTTAAATAATTTCTTAGCAGCTGGGTCTTTTTTTTAATACTAGATTAGACTGTACTACACATATAACAAAATACGGAATAGTAGTAGTCTAAGGATACTGCTAATTAAGAACTAAGAAAAAAATGTCAAATGGAGATCTAACACTATTATTGAGATCCATGTATTTTTGCCTATAAACTCTTGTAATTTCAGAATGCACCCATAATCTTGGGGTATTTTTTGCCACTACTTTTAACAGTACTGTCCTTTAGTTATAATCAGCTTGAATAGTGTCATTCTTTGCTAATTCTGTTGTCTGCTCCAGGTGGGTTGGATGAGACTCTACACAACATTATTGACTGCGCCTGTGAACAGAATATCCCGTTCGTTTTTGCCCTTAATCGCAAGGCCCTAGGCCGCTGTGTGAACAAAGCAGTGCCTGTGAGTGTGGTGGGAATTTTTAGCTATGATGGGGCTCAGGTAAGTTGAAATACATAGGTTCGTGTTTTTGTTTAGCTTTACTTTTTACCTGTAAGGGGAAGAAAAATACTCTGACTTTAAGGTTTTGTTTGTTTGTTTTGATTTGCACACTTACACCCTTTATCCCAGGTCAGTTGCTTACATGAAAAATTGATTTTAGAAGTACAGCCACTCAGCACTGTTCAAAAAAGTAGTTTGGCCATGTCTTCCTGACATCCTCTCCATATAGATCTCTTTCCAAAATCTTTTTTTTTTCAAGAGAATTTGTGTTTTTATAAACGTTTATAAATTTTTTCATGTCTTTATACATACTTAGCTGCTCAACTTTTATATATGAACATGTATGTTCTGAATAAGGAATATTCATTACAGATTTTCATGGAGATGTTAAAATTTACTGTATGATTTAAGCTCTACTAATATTTTATATTTCCATAGGACCATTTTCATAGAATGGTACAACTGACAACAGAGGCCAGGAAGGCCTACAAAGATATGATAGCAGCTTTAGAGGAAGAAGCTGAAGGAGGACTAAGAGAAACCCAACCCAGCATCTTAACCACTGAATATGAAAAAAATGGCTTGTCAGAAACTGGTAAAACATCTTCCAGGGACTCTGATGAGGATATACCAAATTATAGTGAGTATTTACTGACTTGTTTTTGGTTCAGTTTTCATTCAAAGTGCTCTTCAATTCTACCATTTTCACTGAAACAAATGACGCCTGACACTTTAGTGGTTAGTAAGGGCAGAAATTCTGCTTTTCTGCTGTTTCCCCTGGCCCCCTAATTTTATAAACCTGAGGTCAGCTCTTGCTGAGAAAGTCGTAGAGAAAATTCCTCTGTGAAGTGCACTGATGGCAGGCGGTACTCATTGCTTTGTCCAAGGAGGTTTAACAGAGCTCCTTGTTATTTCTATTTGTTAAAAAAACATCTTAAGTTTTTTTCTACAAATGCATACTCTATAACTATGCTGGACTTAAGTTTTGTATTGAAGCCTGTTTGAGATGCATCTTCCTGTCCAAAAGTGTTCATGTTTTGTAAAGGCCTTCCACTTCCAGAAACACATTCCTCCAGCTCTGCTCATGCAGTCACCAGACAATGACAGTTACCACAGATACTAGGCAACTTAAAATTGCTTTGAAAATTTTGAAAGCTTCTGTGTTTTTTTAAAGTTGCACCCACCTTCAGAGTTAGCCCTGCTTGAGTGGGGGGCTGGCCACAAGGACCTCAATGGGTCCCATCACTCCTAAAGTACTCTTTCATGCATCATCTGATGTTGCGTGGTGTAAGCATCAACATGTCCATGTGCCAACTTATCTCAGCACTTACTTTGAGGACGAAGTAGAGAATCAGTGTGACTTTTCATTTTAAGTTTTTCCTCAAGTATTATACGGTAACCTGTTTGTTTGTTTTTTTTTTTTATTCTAATATTCCCTAGTTAAAATCTGGAAGAGAAAACTTGAAGAAGAGTATAACCCATATGCACTGGAACTGGAAAAGAGTGCAACTGCTGACATGGTGATAGTGAATTCAGAAGAGCATCAGTAAATCCAGATCCAATTCTATTGGGCTTTTAATTTTTATTTTTTTTAGACCCCTAGGAAGAAGGTAGCAAAATAAAATAAGTTAAGAAATATTTGACGTCAGCTAAGTAAACTGTTCTGAATCCCTTTAAGCAAAATAGACACTGGAGCACATGAGGCACTGGCTAATGCTTTTATGTTCTATGTATTTGGCTGATTACGATAGCGGATTACAACAGCAAATTGTCTTAGTCCTGGACCATTTGAACTGGCCTGGCATATTTTAATGGTTTTATGGACTAGCATTGCTTCGTTAGTGATAAAATATACCGAAAGAACTTGCTAGAAAGATAATTTTATTTGGGAAGAGATTCCATGAGCCAGAAGGTTGCGGCTTGCGGGGAGTTGCTTTTTATTTTTAACTCTTGTTTAAAGAACTTCAACTGTTTTTTGATTGTGGGTTTGGTTTTGATTTTTTTCTTCTAAATAAACCTGCTCAGGTGGGCAGGCTGGCGTCAATGTCACTTTCTTCCAGTCAGCAAGAAATTAATTCTGGGCAGGCAGCTTGATTGAAACTAATTAAGGAAGGCCATGATGACAAAGTTCCCAGTTAGCTCTTCTGTGTGATATTTTGTTCTTCTGGGATCATACAGCAGGTGTAAAGGAGAGAGCATGGACTGCAGAGGTCTCATTCCTGAAGTGAAAATGCTCTGTTTAGAAATTTTATGAAGTTGATTAAGTGTACCATGATGATGTTTCTGCTTCTACTGAGACTAGTTTATCATAGGTCCTGCTTTGAAGTTAGAAGATATTGAAGGACAGCAAATGTGTGAGCCTGCTATCCTATCTGTACCTTCTCCATGCCGACAGACTCCTCATTCCTTCAGTTTGGGGGTGTGTCAATGTATGTATGTAAGAGTTTTTGATCACTCTCAGTTTGTATCTAAGGTAGGGAAAATTTATATCTTACAGGAAACAAAACTTTAAAAACAAAATGTGCTCAATAATGGTGGTGGAGCACCTTAGTGGGAATGTCCTATATAAATACCGTTGTTTACAAGTTGCAGACATAAGAGGACAAGCCTAAAGAAAGTAATTGGAGGATGCACATGTAACTTCTGTCAGCTGTTCTGAAAGATGATACAGATGCCATGTGCTGCTGCCAGCATCTCTGAAGTGTGTCTGTAAGTGCTTCACTGCACTGAACATTCGTAGTGCAATACTTTGGAAAGTAGCTGCCTTGTGAAGTTAGAAGTGATATAAAAACTTTAAATAATTTTGAAATTCTAACAATTTTGTAGAATGTAAATTGTATAAAATCTGTTACAATATATTGATTCTATAAAGTATGGTTGTGACTTAAATAAACTCTTATGGTGGGCACTTAATGATACTTGAAATGTCAGTTTTGAGGAAGAACATTGGTAAGGGAAGCCAGCCTTAAGCTGAAATGCATAGTTGGTCACTAGTTATGATGATGATCTTTTTGTATTAGTTTCTTCTAATCTTAAATGGCAATTGAAGGTGAAAGATCCCAGTGATGAAAGATTGTTTTGGCCAGCAGATATCCTTGATTCAGAGGTAAGTTGTGATTTATTCGTGCTTGTGCCACTTCAGTACACTAAAACTCTGAAACTGCTAAACTTAGTCACTGCACGGAACGGGGACCAGTTGGTGAAGATCACATTAACAGCCTTTTTTTTTTTTGCCATATTTTCTATTTTGTCTTACTGTAGGAGAGCATGAAAAGTTACTTTGGAAACATTATAGGTTGTTCAAAATCTTAGGGAGTTATTTCCTGTTCTTAGAATGTGGCAAAAAAATTCACTATAAGGGGTCACAGTTGTGTTCACTAATTCTGTTACGCAGATGTTTTTTCATGAAGTTGACCTAAACAAAAACTCTGGCAATCCTTTTTTACTACTTGCAGTACTTCACTGCCGAGAGAAGGCAAAGCTCAGCTATGCTCATCTAAAACTCTGACCTCAATCTTACAAAGCCTTATCTTCCTACTCAGCCCCACAGAACTAAACTTGTCTGCTCTGAATCTATTGAATCTAAGAGGAGGGACAATTCAAGAAAAGTCTTTTTATAGTTGTCCCTTAGCCATAAAAGATGTCATAAGAGAAACACAATGGGGGGGGAAATTCCTTCTGAACGTTGGTGTCAGAAGTCTGCATCAGCATTGATTTATGACTGCCACTAAGAATTTTCACCCTGCATCTGTGACCACAAGGTGGTCTGGTATTGCAAAAAAAAAAAAAAAGGTCATTCAGGAAAGTTTTAGAGTGAGGAGAATGCTTTCTTCAATGTGGAAAACAATCTAATTTAAATCTTATCCCCAAGTTATCCCCTAACTGGTAAGTATGAAGCTTTCTGCTATTGCTAGGAGCAGCTGTCCCCATAGACTCAAGCTATAGTGATTCTTAGGTGGCATCTTTCTTGCTTCCAAATTGTTGAAAATCATTGAGAAGATGAGAGAAAACTTGAATTATGCCTCAGACTTATGTTTATTAGATGCAGAAGGACAAAACTCTGAACAGCACTGCAGTAAAACAATTTCACTGTGGATTAAGTAGGTCTTCCCATTTTCAATCTGTCGTTGTCCACTAGAACTATGTGAACTTGATGCAATTGAAGTCTTAGAATTCATTCAACATAGAATTTTTTAAAGCTACTACAGTTATCTCAAATATAGAAGAATAAGTTGCAAAAACTAAAGAGTCTGCTTTAACTTAGATGCTTTGTAATCTATCTGTATTTTGAGCATTAGTCAGAAGTTCTTTATTTGGTACGGAAGCTTTATTTCCAAAGGAAATGTGTTTGAACAAATGAACTTGCTGATGCCAGAAAGGAATGCTCTTCAAAACACTGGGAACAGAGTATAAGGGTAAACACATGAAGAGAAAATAAATAGGCCAGTTTAAGTGCCTTTTAATGTATGTGATCCACATCCTATTAATCTCTAAATCATATGCCAAGATGCTCAAGCCCAAAATTAGCCGGTTTGCTTAATGAACTCAAAACAGAAGCCATACATCATATATATTGTTTGAGCAGCACAAGTCTTACTGAGACCACTTTCGTTCTTCATTAAGCTGAAATAACTGTCATCAGAAAACCAGAGATAGTTCCAGCATGGGATGGGTGGCCTCTCTTGTAGCATGTAACTTAGTTATTCTTTGGTGCAGTAAGGATATCCTCTTCCACCTCAAGCTTCAGGTGATTCTCCTGAATATCAATTTTAATGCCAGCACTAGCACTCACAAATACCTCTTTGAATGCTGTGATATTAAGAATACTGGATAACTTGCATACATTTCTCCTTCTAGCCTGTTCATTCCTGTGTCCATTAGAGGCTGTTTTTCTTGTTGCAGCTCTCCTGAAGAAAAAGTTCAGAATGATGTGTTAATGCTGCTTTAAAAATTAAAATTGGGTTTAAAGGTTGCCTATACTAACTCCACAAGCATGTGTCATATCCAAAAGTTATCAAAAGTAATCTTTGTTCTAACTGTTGGAGAAAAACATTAAAAGCTAAGTATGGACTATTGTTTGTTTTCTTAAAGGAAGGCCAGCTTTGATGGACAATACCATTTATGAAGACCAGTAGTCTCTGCAATCCAATTAGTCTATAGATATGATGAAATTAATCTACTATATTCAGTTTACACAGACTTACTGTTTTGGCAGGATGAGAACTACTGACTGACTAGCACTTGGTTAGTGGACTGAAGGAGCAAGCTGACATAACCGTAATGTATGTCATAGATCGAGCAGATTTTACTGCTGAGAGGGTCAAGAATGAGGAATACCAATCACTTTGTTATATAAATACATTCAGCTGCAGAAGCATCATAGGCTATTTATAAAATTGGGACTGTAGCGTGTCATGTAGGAAGCACTGTAGGAGATACCTTTTCCAAAAATTCTTACCCATGTTTTCCTCCAGTTTTGCATCATCTTGTCATGTTCACTGATGGCACTTCTCCACGTATCAAATTCTTTGGTCCATCCATCCTGACCAGCACTGTCTGAGAATTGTACATGGGATGATTACATAACTACGTAATGATGAAGTAAGTTGGTACCTATTCAGTTGCACAACTTCCTGTGGAGGATTGGGCTAGAAGGAACAAAAGCCACCATCTTGTCCTTCATTTTGCTCTACCTCCTCTCCTGTTATTTGGAAATAAGTTCTATTCAAATGGTCCCATCTCTTCCCCTCTGCAGCGAACTTTATAGCCTCCAGAGTAAACAGATTCAGTGCCTTTATCTGTGATTCGAGGTCTAGAAAACACGACCTACAAGTTAGAGTTCAAACCCATCTAAGAAGCACAGGAATGCTCCAGTTAGATCATACCAAGCCGGGGGAGAATGATAAGATACAGCTGACTATGTCCAGTTTGTAATTTCCCCATTTTTCAGTAATGTTATGGAGTTACTGAGAAGGGCTATTTTACTGCCTCTTGGTAAGATTCTGTCTGCCAGTTTTTCTTGCAGGATGTAACACTGTGATGGTGACATACACAGATGTAATATTTTCTGTTTATCCTTCGGGACACCGGCAACAGTATATAATGCTTTTGGAGCACAGTGAAAGCCTCCCTCTGTTTTACATTTACAGTAGTTTCACTGAGATGCTCTTCATTCTGCTTCCAAGACAGACTTCAAAGTAACTGGAGTGATGGCAAGACAACTTGTGTAACTCCTACTGCTTTTCTCTGTCACTGAAAAAAGGAGGGTTGAGCTGTTCTTGACAAATTCATGTTTGTTATTAACCAGCTAATTAAAAATAATTCACTTTTTCCTTCACCCTACCAAGAAAATCCATACTATATCATCTTCATTGTTCCTTCTGTCTTTTTAAAGACTATTCAGACCTTCTGTAGGCCAGGGTAAGTTCTCAAAAGCTAGTTGCAAATGATGCTCAAGTTGCATCAGTCAGTTCTGGATACCCAGAGATCTTGCACAGCTGCTGAAGTTAGCTAACTGACCTCATGCCCAGTTAGTGTCCAAATGAAGAGGTAGGAACTGACCTCATCCAACTACAGGTGATTTACAAATCATCTGATTTTTTAAATATCTTGGGTGGTGGGGGTTTCTCTTTACCATCTGACTTCCTTGGCATTAAAGGATTTTTCTACATTACCTTGTAGAGTTCTGGCAGGGTATCTATTTTTAACTCTCTAGTACTCATCTGATTTCCAATTTGTGTCCATTAGTTTAGCAGTTTCAGTTTCATTTCTAGATCATAACTGCTAATTTACAGATTAGTCCTTTGTGAGAGGGGGTGGAAGAAGGAATTTTTATGGCTCTGAAACCTTTTCATAAACAATTGAAGCGGGTACTAATACAGTAAGCCAGAGTTACCATCTTCAGCTATGCACATGTTTTATGGGTGAAAGTTACAGAGCTTTCCTCATAATTGGGGTCAGGCCAAACACGGTGTACGTTCAAAACCAGCCTACCTTTATCTTCCACTGTGATGCGCACTTCTGATGTTGTGTTCCCAACTTTTGAGATGAATGAACATTTATATTCTGTGTTTTCTGATACTGAATCTTTCACCCAACTCAGAACATGCACTCTGCCATCAAACAGCATATGAGATTGCTCAGTGATGCATGCCTTCATCTTCTGCCCATTCTTCTTCCAGACAAAATAGGAGTCATCCGGACCTGTAAAAACATCAGTCAGCTTATTTTGTAAGAAAATACAAGATGAGTCTTTAAAAAGAAAACAAAAGCCTAAGACCTCAAGATCAGGCTCAAAAGCATAAATGGATGATTGTAAGGTTTCTTAGGTTTCTTCAGCTGAAATTCTGGGTACCAAAAACTTGGGATAAAAAGGAGCTAGCTAGCACTGGTAATTTAGGTTCAAGCCAAAGTTGTAAATGAGTTCATATGTATAAAGGAATTCTGCCTGGATTCTCACAAGGAGGAACTCGCCCCACAAACACGATAGAGCAGATGATGAACATCTGCACTATCTGCCTATACGATTTCCTGTAGAGCTAGGCCACGTTACCTACTGCTGGTCAAGCTAGCTTCTGGTACAAAGCTGAAACCATCCGAGACATGCCTTGCAAAATCTGAAATAAAGGCCAGGAGGGGAAAAAGTTCAAGAACTCGGTGTGTCAAAGATGCTGGAACTAATAATGAAAGAAGCAGAATTGGAAAAAGCACAGAACCATTAGTCACAGCAGGCAATTAGGCAAGACAGAACTTGGAAGAAGCTTGGATCAACAACAAAGAGCAATCTAATCTTTTAGCCTTGTTGCTATTATTCGTCTTAACCTGCGAAGACAGAATATTTGAATAAATCAGAGATTGACAGTAGCCCAGAGGACAGAACAGCTGTTCCCAGAAAGTTAGCAAGGTTGGCTGAAGAGTGCTTGGCAGTATCAGAGCCTTTTCATTTAAAAGAAAGACATCTGGGCCAAGTTAAGAACTTTGCAGTAATTCTGATACTTAAAACATGCCTATTTCTCCCTTGGGGCCTAGGATCCAGACTAGCCTTAGCAAGAGAAGATGTAAAGAGAAATTTGGGGTAAAAAGAAAATAAACTATTTTTGCAAGTATACTCTTTTGAGAGTAACCGCCTACAGAAGTCAGCTTTTACTATGAGCATTGCAGATTGCAAATTGATGTGGCATTTTTCTCTAGAAAAAGATTGGATCCTAGGTCAGTGTCCTGAAAACTAATTAAATTTTAGATAATCGTGCAGGCAGACAAAAAAAAGGTAGTCTTTACATCTGTGCACTTCCTCAGCATATTGTGTTAAATTCTGACATAATTTGGAAATAAAACTAATATACTACAAATATGGAGACATAAATTAGTAGTAAGAGTAAGGGTGAATGATAGAGAACATGATCTAGTTAAAACCTGGTAGAGTTTATCTCTGAGGGAGGGAGGGAAGTGGCACAATCTCTTGAGAAGGACTAACAACGGCTCTGACAAAGTGGAGAGGGCAAACATACGCTGAACTGAAAACAGCTAGCCTAGCACATCCTCATTTAAAAAAAAAATAGTGTTTTATGGATGATTGTACTCATTCTACAATTAACAGTGGACAGGTTACATGTTGCTAAAATCAGGGGAAGTCTGGAACCAGGGACAAATTATTTCAGTAAACCAATGCTGAAGTTGGATTTTGGGCAAATGGGAAGAATAGTAAGTAAATACAAGCACAGCAGAAAGATAGAAATCTAAGTTAAAAAAAATAGGCTTCGAAGAGTAGAAACCTACCTTCAGAAACACTCTGGATTACAATTTCTAACAGGTGCCACAGCAAGTCTGACACGGCATTAATACGGAAACAAAATTAAGCGATAGTGTTCGCAGAGTTCAAGCTGACTTGGAGAAGTTAAGACCAGCTTGACCACAGTGAAGATCGATAGGAAGAGGGAATGCTGCAACACAAGCCTCAGGATGAACTTTTCCAAGCGTAGAAGTTGTTACTCTAGCATTGTAAAGCTAAAAGCCAGGTGCTCGAATAAAGCCACAAGCTCGCAAGTTTTATTTGCAGTAGTTCAAGCCCTAACACGTGGGAACAGGGCCATTGCCTAAAACCATGAGCTTGAAAAATGGCATTGTAGGGCCTTGTGAGCAGTGCAGGACACTTCCCTAAACTTACTTCAAATGTTACTATTCACACCAGAGAACCTGCTCTATTTACTGGTGCTAAAGATAACAATTGTTCTGGAAATCTGCCAAAAGTTCAGTTTAGACACACAGTTCACCAAAAGACTAAAATCCAACAATTTCCTTATATGGGAAATTTTGCAAGCCATGTTGTTTCAGGTCAGCCCCTTAACAAGTTGCAGCTGGGCAATTTTACCCTACCTTTGTTTTCTGTGCAGTCAGAAGCACTGGAAATCCCCACAGAGTAACACTCATACAAGTTAGTCGGCAGCAAAATCTAGGTTCAAGCACTAGTCAGGGTTTTTACGGATCTTCGTCTTTTAGTGCAGTCTATTCCTGATTTTCAGGGACTGTGCTATTACTTTCTCTACTTTGATTTCCTTTTCAGGATTGAGCAGTAGAAAAAATACACTGTGAAAACAGTTTCATCTGCAAAAACTTTTGAATCACATTTGTTAAATGCAAGTTTTCTACAACTCTAGAGTGAGATAAATTCACACTTGGATATAATGGTTAGGGAAGTATTCTGAAGGTGAAGGAAATTACGATGAACATATACTCTGCATTTGCTACTGTTGCTATAATACAAATTAATTACATATCTAGTGTAAACTTTAAAATACGAATTTCTAACGCACTTGATCTACTTACTTTGCCATCCGTTTTAAGAATGCTTGAAAGATTTAAAAAAGTCACCTTATTAAAACATAACATTCAAGCAGAGAATTAAACAGCAAGTCAGTCTAGATATGCAAGTAGCTATGATTAAACAACAAAGATATTTTGAACAGTTAACTTTGAAACATTGCTTCAATCTCAGTAGATTTATTATTAATAATCAACCTCACGACCTTAACGATTTTAGAAGGAGAAAGGTTAACAATTATCAAACAAAATAAAAAGCCTTGCTGCACTGTCTGAACCACCCCTTTTCTCTGCATAAGCCCTTCATAATTTCCAGCGTCCATGGAAGCGTTTGCTGCTTTTCCGTATAGATTTCATTTTCTGTACCTCTGCTTTCAGTGCTTTGAGTGAAACCCAGGTACTGCCCAGGCAGTAACAGCCCAGGTACTGTCCAGGTAGTTTCCGCTGGCGAAATGGGTTCTCTGACCCGTGTCAAGTCAGGCAGGCTTGCACAAGCCATGTATTTAATAGCCAGATGATTTTGCCTCGAGATTTTCCACAAGGAAAAATTTCAGCAGCCGTAGATAGCACTAAAAACTTCAAACCACTGCAGCTGCTTGTAAACTTCTACCCACAGCCTAACTGTATTCACTGAATTACTGGCGTAAATTTGATCGTAGGTTAAAATAATAAATCCAGATGTAAAGAATTGAAGTATACGGCTACAGATTCAGAGCAGCATGCTGATGTGCCCTGCTAAACTGTACCAAACTAAGCATTTGCCATCATCTACGCCTCAAATCCTAGTAGACGTATGGCTTTCAAGAAAGCTTGGAGGTTCTCATTTAAAAGCAAGAGATCATGGATTAAGTAGAGCTCACTGGCATAAGGCTGGGGTGGGGGAGCAAGAGGGAGTACTGGCCAAGCTAGCTCCTTTTGCCAGACGCTGCAACTTGCAGAGCCGCGTAGACATTTCAAAAGCTACTGAATGAAGCTGTACAGTGAAACACTCAGAAGCGCTACCCCATTGCTGTTGGTGTAGCACACCGTTTTTCCTCATTTTTAACACAGTTCTTGAAGGGTAACATTAAAACAAGGCTTCCCTATAAATTATTCAGAGACACACTTCAAGATAGAGGGAGGTGAGTTGGGTAAAACAAAGCATGAGCCATCAGCAAGCCTAAACCTCTTAAAGCTTTCCTAATCTGTGAAAGTTGACAGCAAATTGAAATCCAGTGAAGATAACTGACAGGTATCCCACTGAGAAATTCTAGGAGGGTAACAAAAAGTCTTTTTCACAGATTCCTATAATCTAGACAGAGAGCTGCTACCAGAGGCTATCCTCAGTGACAGGAAGTTTAGGTTTGGGAAAAAACTCCCCTGGATTCCCCAGTATGCACCAAACCCCCTTCCCAAAGATCACAGCATGCAGCAGATTAAAAAAAAAAAAAACCACACAACATTACACACAACATTAATCTTAAAAAAAAAAAAAGAGCAGCATCTGGATTTAATGCTTGCTATCTAGCTTGCAGCTCTGGCTTGTACTGAATGCTACTGAACTAAACATCCCAGATTTCAGAAAACCAAGACCATATAGGAAGCTCTCATCCAGAGCAGGGATTAAGTATTAAAAAGACACTATAATCTGGGTGCAGAAAGATTATTTTAAATCGGAGATCAGAGCACAGGAAAAAGGTTAGTCAATCATTAATAGGGAAAACAACCACCAGCACTACCCTGTACGTGAATGAAGGTTAGATTTAAGGCTGGTCACAGTTTCTTGAGTTGCAGGAGTCTGAGTCATCATTGCTGACAAGCTAGCAAAATAATAAATAGTAAATGAAGCAATCAGGAGGGTAACAGATTGGAAAAGTGGGGAAAGAATCTTTGAATTGAGACAAGCATCTTTGCAGTTTTCTGAAAAATAGCGTACAGGGTAGGTAACCTGTATCTCGGATAACTTTTTTTGTAGTTTTGTTTTTTGGTGGTTGGTTTTTGTGTGTGTGTATGCTTGGGTTTGGTTTTTTTTTTTAAAGTAGGGGCAATACATTCTAGAAAACAAACTGGAAACAGCTTGACAGCAGTGGGAAAAAAAAAAAGACTTAAAAAAGCCAAGGAAAACAGGCCTCTCTGAAATGCCAACAAAGAATATTACTGCAAACACCAAATAATTCATACTGAAGGACGCATGATACACTCCTTCAAAAACCTGGTGCCTTTGTTGAATCACTAGTCCATTTGTGTAACATCAGCACCGTATCTGCTGCAGCCTTACCAAGGCAGACGAAAAGCAGGAAGCGCTTCCCGTGAAATGCGAATGGCGTAAAAGCTGGAAGAGGTAGCCCGTCACCGGAGGAGGGGATGCGCGGCGCATGCAGATGAAAGTAGGGCACGGCACCTGCCTT